ATAACTGGGCATTGGGAGAGCTGGCTTCGCGCTAGTTTTGTGGAAAGCTCCTTCTATTCCACTATGGAAATTTCTTGCTTGCTTTTCCCCTCCACTTTCCTATTTAAGCGGAAGAGGGAGGGGCAATAAGTAAGTACGTGGAGATAGGCCCAAGACGAGTGGGACTTCAGGTCACAGGTATGGTATACTGAGAGCATCAGAAAGTGTCACAGAGGGACAGAGTTTATTTAAATGACCTGTGGTCTTGTTGTTACTGGTGCTGTAGACGTTCTGCCCGTAGACCAACATACGTTTATATGCACCTTCCCTTAATTCAAAGAATACAGCGTTCTGTATGTGTGTGTATATATATATATAATAGCTCTCAGGTTGTTCGAGTATGATCGCTTTGCGTGACTTGTGAAATTAAAAGGGGTTTTTTTTATTATTCCTTTTTGTCAAATATATATATGCAAGTCCACCAAACACAAATGTGGGACTTGTTTAAAACATTCTTTTTAGTCCAATAAAATGTAGTATTTTTTGAGAGAAAAAAAAAAAAAGTTGGTTTTCCCTACGAGGTTTTAATCTAAAAAGCCTGTCCTGAGATAGATGCAAGGAGAACAGTACCTTCAGGTCTTTCTGCAGTAGCTCATGATGGGCTAAGTGTGTGTGGGTGTTTTAAAAAGTTGTGTCAGTGCAATGGGGAGTAATAGGAATGAGCCAAGACTTAGCTTATTTTATTCTGGTGACTTTGTTCTTACTGACCAAAGCGAGTTAAAACGCTCTGTGATATTTTGGTTTATGCAGACTTGTTCAAGAGCAAGTTGTGGCTAACTAGTGCAGAATGTCACTCTTTCTGCATGTCCCATAAGTTGTAGATGCTCTGGTGCTTTTCCAAGCGAGTCAGTGCAGAATCAGGCAGTGTGCTGACTATGCGTGATTTAGTACAGAGCAAGGAGCTGATCAGTCTATGAACTGTCCAAAATCAGCTGAGCTAACCAGACATCATTAGTTCTTCAGTGTGTTTTGATATCTAAATTGTCAAAGTGAAAAAACATTTCTCTCTTATGCAGCAAAGGATGCTTTGGGTTCACAAATGTAGAATTATAAATAACATTTGTTTCAGTAGGGCTGTATCTGGTAATCTGTTACATAGTACTTGAAGAGATGATTTGGGGAGTTAGGTGCTGAACAAAATGATTTAAAAATAATTCAGTGTACATATCTGTTACCCTCCCTTCTTCTTTCCTCCTATTCCTCCCTCCTGTTCCTGCAGTGATCTGGCTCCACGGTTGATATCACAGCACTACAGCTGTATTTGCTGATCTGATGCTCAGCGACTTTGGGGACCCACCAAGAAAAAAGTGAGGTGGATCTTCCTGTTTTATTGAATATCCTTCTGGCTGAGATCTAGGGTTACTCAGTACCTGCTACTGGAGATTTCTGGTGCCTTTCAGTGGTGTATGAGTGAATACTTTGGGAAGTGAAGTTAAAGGAACTTTCTGTTCCAGTATAATGATAGATTAATAATCATGGATGAGAAAGCACTTGTTTAGTGTGTCCTAAACATCTGACCCAAAGGCAGGACTACCCGTGCAGTCTCTTCTGAGTGCTAAGGTGGTCTATCCTTATTGCAGATTTTTCTTAAAGGTTTTATTTGTATAGCAGAGAATATATATTTTATTTACTTGTAAACTGTGAAATAATTTAAGTGTAGACAAGATTAAGTGAATATTGGCTTTTTTAATACACGTTTCCAAAGGCTAAAGAACAGAAAGAGGTATCAGCAAGCTGAGATACTAGGAGTGTTCTTTAATGATATCTGGAAATATAGGCCACTAATAAAAGGTCAGATAATTTAGAAGATTGCAATTACTAATGATAATAAAAATTGTAATGAGTTATGTTGGATATCTGCAGGTCAGACAAGGAACAGGATAATCTGAAATAGTTTGTTTGATGGTCAGGATCCTTGCAGGATTCTCTGTTTTCAGAGCCTAATGGAGTAATCATGCATTGCTTAGCTCATTGGTGGGTATCCTAATGATATTTTAAAAAATAGGTTAAAGCTGCTTGCATTACAGATTTGCAGAAGGAGCTGACTGCATTGATCCTTGTGGGGGGATTAAAAAAGTGCACTGAAAATTTGGGGGATTGGATCATCTTTGCCAAGTCTCTAGGTTGATTATAGGTTGGATTGAAGGGGCAGACCTCTTCTGAGGTTGACCTTCAGAAAAGGATGTGAAGAACAAAGTAGGACAACACATAAATTATTGCGTACTGACTTAAAGTTGGCATGGCTGGTAGATATAGAAGGCAATGTAACGTTAGAACAAGTGTGAAACAGGGCCTCTGGGTTTTATTCCAGGTTCTTACTAACTGGCTGGGTAATTACTCATCTCTCTGGGTCTCCTTCTGTCCATCTGGTAATTTACCTAGCTGCCAAAACTGTTGCAAGGCTTTAACTAAAGGTGAACTGCAAAGCAAAACAGTTGGTGTGTGCCCTTTGGTGTTCTTCTGTGATGTGTAGCCATGCCTGTGACACCTTCTTCCCCCAGCTCTACAGGCTCCTTACATCAAGTGCGCCAGCTATTAGAAAAGAAGGTTAGAAATATTTCACAAATTGTACATACGAACTGTCTGGTAGTGAATGAAGGAGCAACAGCCGCCAAGGTTAAAATTTGGTAAAGTTGCCAAACGTTAGATTACTCGAGTGAGGAAAAGTTGAGGAAGGTTTTGTCAATGTAGACTATGCTGGAAGAAGAGGACATTGATGTGCAAGGTGAGAGGAAGAACCTAGACTTGTGAAAGAAAATGTTTTAGGTCTTTTGGGGGATTGCTAGAGAAGATAACACTTCCCTTTTCTGCCTCATCTCCTCCAAAATGTGTGAAAGATTACAGTGGCTAGTCTGTGTAGTAAACTGATGTTACGAAATCTGGGAGGCTTTGGCAAGGATTCTTGAAAAATGAAAGGGAGGAAGAGAGCTAGTTTGTGGGGAGTATGAGGTGTATGTTATTGTCACTTAGCAAGAGGAAAGTGTAGATTCAGTGACTTCCATCTTAGAGCAACAGCTGCGTGGTGCTTGCGGTACAGCGGGATGGTGTTTTTGTCTCTGGGGTGCAGGTAGTATGGACTCCTTGTGCTTGCCTGTATGCATCACCTATCACAGTATTAATTATTCTGGGGTGCGTCAGTGTGTGAATAGTCTCAGTTTGGATTGAGAATGCTGTATTTTGCTTTAGCTAACAATAGGCTAATTATTTCATTAAACAGCTTTGGCTGTGTTATAATGAAAGATGTACTGACTTGCACAAGATAATTGCAGTTATGAATTAAAGATGGCTTTATTTGATTTGTTTGTTTGTGTGGATATGCTCTTACTGCTGTTTATAAGCCCAATACAGAACTTGGATTACAAAGGCTTTTGCGATCAATATTTATTTAAAGAAAAAAAATCCTGACAAAACACAGGCTTTATGGTGTGTAGCCAAGCTTCACTTTCTCTGCAGTTTTCCTCTGGACAAAGTAATTTATAATTAATTAGGCAAAGAGTGTTTAAGGAGAAACAAACACACAAGGATAGAGTCAGGCGTGTGTGCGCATTGATGGCTGTAAGTAAAGTGGAAATACTGTCTTAGTGAATGCAAAGCTTCACATTCACAGTGAGGTTGTGTGCAGCTTATATTAAACCAAGTAGCCTTAATTAGCTCTGCTGATTGGGAGTAATATGAATTAATAGGAAGAGACTGGAAAGATGATGGGGGATGTGCTCTATGTAGCTTTGTTTTGTGAGATGCCTTCTGTGCCATTTTGCCTAGAATGTACGTCTTTATTTCTAATCACAGTGACTGACTCTGCTGCTGAAATACCTCACTGTGCTGTTATTTGGATATTAGACTTCTCTAAAACTAAACAAAAACATTTCTGAGCACAGAGGAACATGCATCTGTTGGCCTTTTTCCAGATTTTTCTCTTCAGCAACGAGACATTGTATGCTACTCTCAAACCGAAAATTCAAGCGCTTATATGGTTTTTTGTTTTGCTTTTCAGATTGTTTCAAGAAAAAATCCAGAGGATGTCCAGGAGGTAACAGTTTAAACTTGTGCAAATGTCTTTGTGTATCACACTATGTCTTTTGAAGCATCTTTGATGTAATTTAGCAATTTCTGTGTGTTTTGTCATTGTATTTGAGCAAACAGTTTTTTGTATGTTTCCATTTGTCTTTAGCTTTCATAGTTGAAAACAGTAGCTAGTGTAACATGTTGCAATTCGTCCCTCAGTGATGAATGGTGACTTGAAACAAAGTCTTAGGGAGTAAAGTGTCTTTTGATGACAAAACTGCTTTGATAACTTTGCAAGCTCTTTTCTCAGGGCTGGAATTGGCAAATTGATGGTTACTTAACTCCTACTGGTAAAATTAGAGATCAGTCCACAATCCAAGTCTTAGGTCTCAGCTGTAGGTACTCTTTTCCTCTTTAACCAACACTTCACTGAAAAGCCTACATCATTACTGTCTATTAGTGAAGAGGGAAAATGGAGGAGTGTAGGAGTAGTTGAGAGAGATTAGACTCGAAGTCCTATATTACGCCTATCTCTCTGAGGCTCCTTAATTTTTTTTCCAGTGATATATTTTGATAAAACTTTAAAATTGCTTACTCTTCACCTCTTCTGAAAAGGCTCTGAATAAGGGTCTGCTGTATTCTTGTGCCTCTGTAATACCTCAAAAGACTGTCAGGAACCATTTTATTGAGACAAAAAAATACATCACACATGTGTGGGTTGTGGGTTTTTTTGTCTTTTTTTAGATTAAAAACCTTTTTTTTCCCCTCTTGATTTCTTCTGGACAAATGAGTTGACATTGATACTATTATACTATGTACATGCAAAAACTTCCTTCAAAAGCACAACGTTATGGCTTTTCAGACATTGTGTAACATATGCATATGTTCAATTTCTGGTGCAGTCTCTTACTACAGTTGAGGAGAACCTGGATAGTTGATGAAAGAAGAGCCCATAAATGAATTCATTGCATCTCTGTGTGGTCAAACATGAGTTACTGATTAGTGGCTTGGCAGAGGTGAGAATTGGCTAATACACCTAACACTCCTTTGTTGCATCCTTCTTTGAAATCTTGAGAATCGGGCAAACATGAACATTCATACTTTTTGCATTTTTTTTAATCTCTAGAAGATGAAAAATAGCCTATCAGACTCAGAGATGATCATGGATCTAGTTTTAGAACTGCATTACTGTAGTTTGTAGCTTGATGTTCACCTTTTCCAGGGAGACTCCTGAATTGAACCTATCCATGAGCACATTCTGCCATTACCTTAATCTTCATTTGTGGGAAAACCACTTTATAGCAGCTGTTGATGAACCATTCATCAGAAAAATATATTGTAAGTGTCTTTCAGCTAGAGTATTGCATGAATATATGTTAAGTAGTTTTGAAACAATAGCAAAAGCATATCTTTTAGTCATTGCTTTGGTCATTGCTCTGATCTGTGGCGGTAGGGTAGCCATGCAGGATTCCACAAACTCTGGTCCGTAAGACTTAAGTGTTCTATGAACTCGTTAATGATTGCCCTTTTCCACCCTTCACTGTATCAAATTAATTATTTTGCATGTGATAGCATGTTAGGTGTGGTATGATTCTGTTACAAGCGAGCATCTGAAAGTTTCTAGTTATTAAAAGGAATACTCTAGATGGTACTTGCTGTGAGGGTGAATTGTAGTCAGAAAACCATGTACGTTGGGAGCTTTTCTGTTATACTGGCTTCCTATGATAGAAAAAGAACTGTGGGCAGCCTTTGAAAGAAAAACAATATGGTCCTAATCTGTTCCCGCTGAAATGAAATTTACCTCAGTTTTCCAAAATGTTCAATTAGAAATTCAGTAGGCAAAATTTTGTGCACACAACCACCCTGTTGCTTTACAAAATGTCTTATGCAACCCTCTTCCTGCACCCATATAGGACCACTTAGCTGTGCCTGCCTACTCATTCAGAAGCCTCTTTTAATGCCACTGCTGTGATGTTAATACATACATTACATACGTACAACTGTACATAAGCCTGTGTACTGTGACCTCAACTCTACTTGCCAGTTTTCTGTCACTTCTTTTAAGTGCCCTTTGGGATACAAGCCTTTAATACAGCATCTCTCCCACTGTAGCCAATTACAATTCAAGATATCCTCAACTGTTGTTGCTGGGACAGGAAGGAAGATAACCTTGGAAGGGTTTTCTTCTCAAAAGGATGAGAGACGTTAATGTGAATTTGTGCATGGAGGAGTTAATAGATACCGAAAGGCTAGCGGATATAACTTTAATTTCCTTGCTTCTGGGGACTGATGGTGGCAACATGGCATGTTAGGCAATTGTAGCTAGTGTAGTCTTGTGGGTTTTTTCTTATTCATGGAGGAGAAAGGGTTGTTCACTGTGGAATGGATGAGTCGCATGAGTTAATAGAGATCTACTGGCTCTAGCCATGACAAGCACCTTATTGCATTACAGATCTAACATATGTTTTGTGATATACTTGCTGTGCTTCGTTGAGCCTCAAAGTACAGTGTGTCCTTCCTCCAAATCTGATTTCTAATGAGTATGTTAGAGTGGGAACTTCGCTAACTTTGCCGAGCCGCATGCATGCAAGCAAAGGCATGATTTCCATGAGTTTGTGAAAGGTTTTAGGATGACCTTGACTGCTTTTGCTATGCAAGCTACTTATGGATATTTATTTTTTCTTCTTGGCTATTGGGAGATCACTTGCAGCAGTAAAAAATGATACTTTTTTAGTGGAATGGAATCTCGTGCTCTTATTTTCTGGCAGCTTTTCATGTCATCTCCAAGTACTGACAATACAGTAACTTGATGTTTCAAGACTTCACCATCTTAAGCAATGTTATGTTCTATGTGCACACTGCTCAAGAAGTGCTAATCATCCACTTTCTGGATATTGGATTAGATGGAAGTACAGCATTGAAAAAATATTGTTTCTGATAGCAAAATCACTAGTTGGCCTTTTTGAGAGATTCTGATTTTTCTTCCCTTGTCTGTTGAACTCCACCAAGTACTAGTTGTAATCGAGTCCTCGAAATGTGTGCACAATAGGTGGGGCTGAATCAGGGCTGCTAGTTTCAGTATAGCTAAGTTTATAAGGTGGATAGAGTGTTGCCATATTAAAGCTTTGCATATCCACTGTTAACAGTCCTGTTACCTCATACCTGCATTATTCTGTAGGTAGGACTTGCATCTGCTGAAACTCAGAAGGCCTCTGACTTCAGTGTTAAAAAAAAAAAAAGCAGCAAACAAACCCCCTCCAAACCCCCAACAAAACTACAACAACAACAAAACACCCCTCTAAAATTAAACCTTTTACTTAGCTCTAAATCTGGTTTGCTTGAAAAAAGTAGGTTTTTGTAATTGTGATCAGTCATGAGAAGGCAACCTGTTAAATCAGTCAGAAATATTTGGAATCTTTTAAATTGTGGTTAGTTGTATTAAGCTAATTGAGATATTTGACTGATGGAACACTGGAATCAACTGCTGAATGTATTGCAGTCTCTCTTTTTCCACCCTGTTCTACTTTAATCATTCCATATTAGTGTTCAGGTTTATTATGTGGCATAGTGAGTCTGACCAGAACCAAGGCCAACGTATAAAATGTCTTTGTTCTTTTTTTTCATCCTGATAGCAAACCTGTTAGCAGTCAAGTGTAAATTTTATTGCTCAGTTCTTTCCCTGGTCTGATTCTCCTATTGAACTCTCATCCTTCCTTGAATGGAAAGAATACAAAGAATGGGATGGAAGAAGGATAAGGTAGATACCTGGCTGGGAGGAACCTGGCTGGCAGATAACTGCTTCTTTCTGGAAAGGATGGATCAGGAAAAGCTGTTGTAATGAACCAATGCTCTCTTTGCATTCCTGAAATTGGAGATTTTGTCTAGATTACAAAAGGAACATATTCAATTTTTGATCAGGGTTATTAGTAATAAACTGTTTAAAATGTGGGCTTGCATTTACACCTGATGAGCATTTTAAATAAACAAATTATGAGCTGGTTTGTAGTGTCCTGGGTGGGGTGCTTAATGTGCTGTCCTTAAGAATCCCTTACTTGTATTGATTTCTCTTCCCTCATTTTCTCTTTTGCTGTTGTTTCTCTTCCCCATACCTGCAGCTGCGCCAAGCACAGCATGCCATTGAGTGTTGGATAGTGCAACACTACTATTCGGCATTTTTTCCTCTCTTACTGGTTCCCTGTGTAGCTCTGGATTGCAGTGTGACTGAAACAGTGCTGCCTTTGCCCTCTCTGTTTCCTTCTTGCAGCTTATATTTTTTTCTATGCGCTGTAGTCTTGTTAGTCAAAATGGGGGTTGAGGACAGATGACTTTTTTTTTTTAATGGCTGTTACAGTTGGCAGTTCAGATTGTATATTTTTGTTAAACATTTGCTGAAGGTAGTGGTCTGATTTGCTTAAAAAAATGTGTTTGTGGTGTGATGCAATGTGAACAACGAACCTCACTAATACTTCTCTCCCCTTTCTTTGCTTCAGATAGTCGTTTGGAAGAGATACAGTGACTTTAAGAAACTGCACAAAGATCTCTGGCAAATTCATAAAAACCTATGCAGACATACAGAACTCTTTCCACCTTTTGCCAAAGCCATAGTATTTGGTAAGCATAATTTCTTCCTGACTTGCTGAAATTCTTTGATAACTCAATATCTATAAATACATCTCTTTTTGTGGCTGTGTGGAGCTCTCTTTCCATCTGCTTTTACTAGTCAACTTTTTGGTTTGTTGAGTCTTACTTGTAGGTGTGCTGCTATCATAACTTGATACTTTTATTTATTTTTTTAACAGGGGTAGTTATGTCCTTGCTCCATGTTAGAGATATTACTTCAGATATTTATTGATTTATATGTTCTGTATCTTACAACATACATTCCCTGTTTTCAGGAGCGTAAAGTCTGTATTAGCGTTGTGAACAACACGTGAACAATGAACAAAGATTTTCATATATGAGCTGTCTGTGATTTTTAGTGATGAGTGATTTAGTAAAGTATCAAGTGGTTGTTGCAGAAAAGAATTTTCTATTTTTAGAAATTTGATTGTAATTATCAATTTTATCTAGCTAGGCTTTTGAGATTGGTTTTATATATAGCAGTTAACTATTTCTCCAAAACAACCTATAAGAGGATTGTGACTCTGCATGAGAAATACATGGCAAAAAGTAATTAGCTCTTAAAAGTCAAAGGTCTTAACTTAATCCTGATGTATGTGTCATCATGGATGTGGACTTCCAGTGAAGTGGTATGACTCCATACAGAACTCCACCTGCCACACTGTTTATTAGCAGTGTGTTGTGTTTATTTTAGCGGTGGGGTTTTTTTTGGTTTTTTTTTTTTAGCATGTGTTCTTTGTGTTTCACACAAACTGTTGCTGTTTTTTTGGCATGCGTATATCATAGAATATCCAGTGGGTTTTTAAGCGCTTTTCAGCATTTTTTAACGTGTCCAGCATGTTTGGCATCTTTTTGGCATGTATCTACCATGTGCTTTGTGAGTGTTTCTGAGGTGCTTCTAAGGTCCAGAATGGGTTTGGTGCTTTTTGGTATGCATCTACCATGTGCTTTTGAGCTTTTTTTTCCAAGCATTTTAACGTTTTTTTTTTAGGTGTCCATCTACCATGGACTCTTGTTTTTTTTTTGGTTTTGGGTGAGCTTTTTGGTTTTGAAAGTGCTTTTGGGTTACTAATGCATTTCCATGGCATTTAGGAATTGTTCTAGTATATTATTTTTTTTAAAGCATCCAGCCTGTGTTTGTGCTTTTTTCTGCTATGTACCTAGCGTGGTCTTTGATGGTTTTTGGCATGCATCTCCCACATGCCTTTTTTTTATTTTTTGGCAAGGTTTCTGATGTGGATTTCGGGCATATTTTTGTTGTGATTTTTGGTTCCTGAGGCGTGGCTGCAGTGTTTTTTTGGGTCCAGGATTTCTTTGGTGTTTTTTTTGCGTCCATATACCACAAAATTTTCTGCGGGTTTTTAAGCATCCAGCGTGTTTAGCCTTTTTTGGGCATGTATCTACCACTTATATTTTGAGTATTTCTAAGGCATTTCTAAGGCAATGCTGACAGTCCAGGATGTGTTTGGTGCTTTTTGGTGTGCATCTACCATGTGCTCTTCTTTGGTGTGTTTTTTGGTGGGCATTTAAGTTTCTAAGGCATTTTTGGAGTTATTAAGGCATTTCCATGGGTTTACAAGTTGTTTTAGTGTGGGATTTTTTCTTTTCTTTTTAAGCATCCAGCCTGTGTTTGGTTTGGGTTTTTTTTGGGGGGGTTGGGTTTTTTTGGTATATATCTTGAGTGGTTTTGAGTCTCCAGCACGTTTGGCGTTTTTTGGCAAACATCTACCACGTGCTCTCTTTTTTGGCAAGGTTTCTGGTGTGAATTCTGTGCTTTTTTTTGCGTGGTTTTTGGTTCTTAAAGGCGTTGTCACAGCACGCTGGGTCTTTTTTATTTGGTGTGCAGCATTTCTTAGGTGTAGCTTTTCTTCATGCATCTACTGCATGATTTCTGGTGTGTGTTTAAACATTTTTCAGCATTTTTTAACATGTCTGGAACGTTCGGCATTGTTATTGGCATGCATCTACTGTGTGCTTTGTGAGTGTTTCTGAGGTGTTTCTAAGGCATTGCTAACTGTGCGGAACGGGTTTGGTGCTGCTTTTTAGTGCGCTGCTTTATTTTTTTTTAAAGTGTTCAACGTGTTTGGTGTCTCTTTGCATGCATCTACCACATGCAATTATTGGGCATTTTAATGGATTTTTAAGCATCCAACGTGTTTGGTGTGTTTTTGGCATGAATCTACCCCATACTCTTTTTTGATGTTGTTTTTGGCAAGCTTGGTTTCTAAGGTGTTTTTTGGGGTTTTTTTGGTTTGTGAGGGTTTTTTGGGGGGTTACTAAGGCATTTCCATGGAGTTTACAAGCTGGGTTTTTTTGGGGGTGGTTTTCTTTTTTTTTTTTTTTTTTTTTTTAAGTATCCAGCCTGTGTTTATGGGTTTTTGTATGCACCTTGCATGGTAGTTAGCATCCAGCATGTTTGGTGGTTTTTTTGGCATGTATCTACCATGTGCTCTCTTTTTTGGCAAGGTTTCTGGTGTGGATTTGGGCATTTTTAGGTGTGGTTTTGGTTCCTAAGGCATTGCTGCAGTGTTATTTCTGTCCAGGATGTCTTTGGTAGTGGTTTGTTTTTTGTTTTTTTTTTTTGCGTGCATATACTGCATGATTTTCAGCAGGTTTTTAAGAGTTATTCAGTGTTTTATTGTGTGTCCAGTATATCTGGTGTTTTTTTGGCATGCATCTACTGCATGCAATTATTGGGCATTTTAATGGGATTTTAAACTTCCGATGTTTGGCATTTTTTTTTGGCATGAGTCTACCACGTGCTTCTTTTTGATGTGGTTTTTGGCAGGCTTTTCAGTGTCTAAGGTGTTTTGGGGTTATTAAGGCCTTTCCATGGTGTTTATAAGTTGTTTTAGTGTGGTGTTTGGTTTTTTTGTTTGTTTGTTTTTAAGCATCCAGCCTGTGTTTATGGTTTTTGTATGCACCTTGTGTGGTGTTTAGTGTCCAGCCTGTTTGGCATTTTTTTGAATACATCTACCATGCGCTCCTTTTTTTTGGCAAGGTTTCTGGTGTGGATTTGCATGTTTTTTTCAGTGTGGGTTTTGGTTCCTCAAGCATTGCTGTAGCATGTTTGGCATTGCTGCAGTGCTGTTTTGAGCGTCCAGCGTGTTTGGCGTTTTTTGGCATGCATCTCCCATGTGCTCTATTTTTTGTCAAGGTTTTTGCACCTTGTTTTGAACATTTGTTTGGTTTCTGAGGCGTTGCTGCGGTGCTGTTTTCCATTGCCACTGTGTTTCTAAGATGTTTTGATGGGTTTTTAAACATACAACACAGAGCATTTTTTTTGGTGTGCATCTGTGACGTGCTTTTAAGTGTCTTTAGCATCTAGCATGGGTTTGGGGTGGGTTTTTTTTTTTTTTTTTTTTCATCCTGCTACTGTATGCTTTTTTGTTTTTTCCATATTTCTTGCTGAACACTAAAAATGCTAAAACATGTTTGGTGTTTTTGGTATGTGTGTAGTGCATGCTTTTTTGTGTATTTGCATGTTTTCCATGCCTTGTGCCTATTTTCCATGTTTATCATGCATGTTTTTTCCATGTGTTGTGCACATTTTAGCATCCAGCCGGTGTTTGATGTGTTTTGGCATGCATCTAGTGTCTGGGGTTTTTTTTTTGCAGGTTTTTTGTATCTAGCATATTTAGCAGTTTTAGTGGCGTTGGGCATGCATCTAGTGCATATATTTCCATGTTTTTCCTGTGTGTTGTACATTAAAGTTTTTGCATCCAGTGTTTCTTTTGAGTTTTTTGGCATACATCTATTGCATGCTTTTACATGCTTTTTTCCTTGTGTCATGGTTTTAGCATGTCTTAGCATCCAGTATGCTTTTGGTGTATTTTGGCATGCGTTGACTACATGCCACACATAGAAAATGTGCAAAAAAATTTTTAGCATTTTTGCATGCACTTAGCATAAGCTTTTTCTGTGCTTTTTTGCTACCATTTTTTTGTGTATTTTTCTGCATTTTTAGTTTTTTTTCTTTTCTTGTATGGTTTTTTTTTTTTGTATTGTGCTCTTTTGGTGTATTATACTTTTTGGCATGAGTTTATTTGGCATTTACTATTACTCTGGGATAGTCAAGCCTGTCAGTTTGGAAAGTGCCAAAATTGAGGTTGTTTAGTCAGCCTTTTTTCCACCACTTTATGTGACAGTGCTATAATACTGCCCGGGGTTATGGTACTGTAGCAGTATTTGCTGGCTGCCCTCCTTTGCCTTGAGTGCTGGAGAAACTGTATGAAACTCCCTGGGAGGCAAAACCTCAGCCTGGAAAGCACAAATTTTCCGTTTGATGTTTCGGGACCAAATACTGCCACACACTTGCACTTTTTGCTACTTAGTGCTGCTGTGTTTATTCTTGATGACTACTGCATGTGGGCATGGCACTGAGATGCTTTAAAGAATATGTTAACATAAACAGCTTTGAACAAGTTGAAGTTAGCTTATAAACCAAGTCCAAACTGCCCTTACAGCTCTGGGGGAGCCTGTGATTTAACCTCTTGTGGTGTGGACCAGCTAAGTGAGAGGCAAGGAAACTGATGCAGATTTCATGGTTCTCTGTGCAGAGCTGGCTAAAATTCCTAGTTTAAATAGTCTTTCACATCAGCTAAATTGTATCCAACTTTTATGTCTTTTTATTTTTGCTTATTTATGAAGTTGGAAGCGGGGTAGGTTTCGGTGCTATGTCAGAAATTGTGCACTAATGGTTAAATAGAGAATGTAGTATTAGTTTCATCCTGAGATGATTTTATATCTGATTTACAGAGTAGAGTGCTCACTGGACAAGTTATTTAAAAAGCTAATATTTGCAAAGGATAATTTAATTTCAGGTAGAAGATACGGTAGCTATTCATAGGGGAGGAAAGAGAGGGGTAAAAAGACAAGAAAATCAGGGTGGAGGACAGCATGGGCTTCTAATATCTTAAATAACTTTAAATTGCCAGAAATGCGAATTAGCTGTTTTTACACTAGCTCTGTAAGCAAGGAAAGAATTGAGTGAAATCCCTTCTGAAAGACATCCTTCTATTGTATTTGGTGAACAAAAGTGGCTGCAATGTACATTGTAAGAAAAGGAAATCTACAGAAATATTATATATAGTTATTTACAAAAAGCATTTTGAAATTAAACCAAACCAAAACGCACTACATTTGAATGAAGCTGAGCCACAGAATAATACAGGAAAGAGGAGGTAATGTAAAAACAAATTTTAAATGATGGGTACATAGCTGAAAGGAACAGAAATATCTGATTCTTCTCTTAAATTTAAGAATTATTTTTCTATTTAAAGCATAAAGTTTTACTGTGTATCCTTCCATCTCACTTCTACACATAATAGCTGCTCTTTGTTTTATTTTAATTTAAAGCATTTATCTTCAGATCAGTACTAGTATTTTTTGTACTATTGGGAAAATGTAATTCCAGTAGATTTTGAGTTTTTGACAAACTGGTTTTCAGGCTCATTCAGTTAATGGTGAGCTGCAAGGTCCATCTCTATTAAGATCTTCTGTTTTCAAGCTGCTTTAATGGAGCATTTCTGCAGTGTTTCTTCCCTGTGGTGATGTTCCACTTATTGCAGCTTTTAAACTAGTTACTAATTAGCAATGCCAGTAGTTGTTGGCAACTTGTGTGGGTTTTTGTTGTGTGGTGGGTGGTTTTTTTTTTTTTTTTTTGGATGCGAGTGCTTTAAGTAACATACACATATTGTTTTGTGGAGAATACGCTTTACAAAATGAGCATTGGTGGTTCTGCCTGTCGAACTTACTTGTAGTAGAAGTATTAAACCTGAGAATCTCAGAATCTCAAGTTCAGCATTCAGAGTTTCAGAAGATGGTGTGGAGAACTGAGATGTATTTAAAAACAAATGGGTCATTCTGTGCTTCCATATTTCATGCAACCAAAGGCTTGCCACATCTGCAGAACTAAACTGCATTGCATGTTTTACAGCACAGCTTTTGATAATTATAACATGCAAGTGCATGTATTTTTATGCTGTTACAATAGAGCTGCTCACATCAAAGCATGAAACTTGTTGTGGATGGGAAAAAAATCATTTCACTTTTTCTGCACTTGACTTGAACCTTTTCCACCCATCTTATGGAGAAAACATAGTGACCTCAAGCATGGGAATCTAAAATGTCCTAACAGATCCAGCTGTTAAAGCTTCTCTGAATTGTTATGCAGCAATTATGATAGCTGTTTCTGGGAAGTGATTACTCTCCTTCCCTAATATGCATCAACATAATTTCTTCGGTATTTTCAAACTACTTTTTTTGTTGGACTCTTTTAAGTATTCCCATATGTTGGCTATACCTGGCATTTTACCAAAATACTGGTAAATCTGTACTCAGCGTTACTTGTATCGAACAACTGCAGAATGTACTCTAGTGTAAAAAAATACTCTCCCTCCCAACAAAAAGAAACCAAAACCCCCAGATATTGATAACTTGCTAGCAGTGAGTCAGAAAGATGATTCACATTATAAAGCTCAGATAAGGATATTTTTTTGATTTGAAAATACCAAATGAAGTAGCATATTTAAGAATTAGGTGGCATGTACAGTTGGAAGTCTTGTGAGAAACTAATTGAAACATGAACACAAACCTTGGTAGGTGTTTTGTCGTTCAGATCTGCTCCAGAAAATGAATTGTGGATTGTCTTTACAGGAATTTACATTTGGTTTCCAAGTATATAAGAAATTTTGAATGGATCATTGCTGGAGGAATAGCAGAACTGTGCTAATGCATTTGTTATATGCTAAGATTGTAGTTGACACTTCCTACAACCCTGGAAAGGCATGATGCCTATAATGAAGTTTCCATGTGTCAGAGATATAAAGAATAGTGGAAATAACATTGATTTAGATGCAGGAAGACTTCCTCATAGAAGTGTTTGAAGAATCAGCTGGGTATCTAAGCACATTTGAACATCTGATTGAGACGGGTGATAATGAAAGTGTTAAGCAATACAAGATTTCTTGAAAGTGTGAAAAAAGGGAGAGGGGGAAGGAGTTAGGTAGGGTTGGCTGCGAATGAAATTGCCAGCAAGATGCCAGATAGTCTGTGAACAAACCAGTACTGAATTATGTTCTTCCTTCCTCCAAAGTCCTCTAGTTCTGTAAGTGGTTATCCTGATAGTGTATCATGATGCTGATGAGCTGGAAAATGTGACAGTGACTAATGTTTCAGTGGCTCAGCTCTGTTCAAACACGTATTTTAACTTTTTTTTTTAATCTAAGCTTCCTAAGAAAATAAGGCTTGTGTAACTGTGCTGTCAGAAAGTCAAACCTCTTACTGATGTGGCTAATATCAGCTAAATTTGAGAGGGAAGGCAGTTGCACATGTAATTATATTTCTGCGAAGTCTGTGAAACGGCAGCCGAGTAAGAAGAGAGCGTGTGCTGTGGTGCTGCCACGGGCCAGGAAGGCTCAGCTCATACCTGTGAGGTTTGCAGCTGCCTGGACAATTGGTGAGCGCATGCTGGTCAGCCTGGCCGTGCTGGTCCTGATGCGTCTGGTGCCCAGTGAAAGTATTGAGAAGATGTGGATGAGGAAAACTAGTTTTTATTTGATTTGATTACAGAGTAGATCAGGGAGAGAAAGATCCCTGGGAAATCAGAAAAAATGTCTTGTAGAATTACTTGCTTGCAAAAGTTACCTCTTTCTTGGCCTTGTTTGGGGCTTGCTTCTTTGCGATTGACTTTGTTTCATTAGAACAGTGTTCATATTATTTTGTAGATTCATTTAACTGGCCCATGCTGCTGTGCTTAACTGAAGGAAGTTGGTTTTTTCATGATGTCCTATTTTGCGTGGAATGAAACAAAAGCCCTAATGCACCCACAGTGTTGCTCTGAAGACATAGGAAGTTTGATGAACAGTTTAATAGAGCCTACCACTCGACGTGGTAGCATTGCCTTTGCCTTCTTTCCGCTTGCTTGTTGCTTGCTCTTTTGTATGGCTGCTAATGTTTGTGCAGCTGAAAGGGCAGGGTGAACAAGTCACGGAACTGATCCAGCTGAAAATTAGCCCAACGATGTCTTTCCTTTCCTTTCATGGAAGAATAACCCCCAAAAGCTTTGTTTGTGATCTTATGAGTATGCGTGTGTCTTTCTAGTTTTATTTTCTTTTTTCTGGTACCACATGGGCAGGAGCTATTTACTTGAAGAATTTCTGGAAAGAATCCTGCTTTGATACTTTTTTCTGGGATTATGTTTTTGCTTGCTCTGAGTATAAATGAATTTTGCTTCTGTATTCAATGTTTCTTTTGTCCTCTTCAAAGGTTAATGCCACAGAGCTGTCACAGGTGGTTCTTATTTTTCTGGTCATGCTGTTATAGCAATACTGTTTCTTGAACTTGTCTTCCCAGTCCTTTTTTTCCCTCTGTATAGCTGTTCCAATATCTGTTCCATTCTCCTCCAATTATTACTGTTAACCTCTGCTCTTTTCCTTTTGTAAACTTGTAACTATTCCAACAACAAAGTGATGTTGATATGAAAAGCTAAAAGAAGTTGTGTGCAATTGTGAAGAATGTGAATTTAAGGTAGCAATCCAAGGGTTCTTCCTCCTGAGAAGCAAATCTCTCGGGTGAACTGTGGGATTGTTTTTTAAATGTGTTTTTGTTCTAATTGGAATGTCTTGGGTGCTGGGCAGGGAAAAGAGAAGGATCATACATTTTGGTAAATGAGCTGCTTCCCAGCTCTGCTTACCTCTTGAATTCAGGAGGAGATGAGACCCTGTCTGCATGGAGCTACTTCAGAGGAAAGCTTCAGTGCGCAGTAGCGGGGCTTCACCATCTCCCCTACACTCTGTCTCCTCCATAAATGGCACCTTGGAATTGATGATCTGTTTGGGGTCTTTTAGCAATACTTCGTTTACTAGCCGCTCACATTGTGCATTGTTCTTGAGAATATGTGAAGAATGCTCAGCTCCTTACAGGATTTGGGCCATAATCAAGGCTGACACTGACTGGCATGTTGTCAAATTGTGCCATGTTATCATTTATTGTTAGATAACACTGGACATCCGTTAGTGTCTCTTGGCTAATCAAGAGTGTTGCTTCACATATTCTTACGATGAGAGGGCGAAGGATTCTTGTCGTAGCTGCCAGCTTTCATCATCTGAGTGGATTGCAGAAGACGGGACTCTAGGGACAATTGAGAATAGGAAGTTTGAAGATGTGCTATGTTCTCCTGAAGCATTGGAGTGACTTTCATAGACTCAGGGCATTGTCTCCATAAGGTTGCTTTTGTCTTGTTTCTTTTCCGTGGTGGTTATTATTGCAGAATAAATGTGTAGTTACTTCTAAACCTGTCAATCTATGTGTCTGTTCCAGGGCGATTTGATGAAACTGTGATTGAAGAAAGAAGGCAGTGTGCTGAAGATCTGTTGCAGTTTTCTGCCAATATCCCTGCTCTCTATAACAGCAAACAGCTTGAAGAGTTTTTTAAGGTTTGTTAGTATTTGCAGAAGTATTTGCTTCTTACTGATATGAATAAAGTATAGTGCTGATTCTGCTTTACATTATAAACTGTGGAGTGACAGTGAGCTGATCTGACATGCTTTGTGAAGTGACTGGGAGTTTTCCATTCGCTCTAGAAATGTGGCTTTAAAAAACCACCATGCCACACCTCTACAGGGTGGAAAGTTTTAGAAGAACTTCAGGTGAAGGGGTTTGGAATTTTTGTTTATTGAATGATAAGCAAAACCCGTCATATTAAATCCAGGTGTTCAGTGGGGAAGCAATAAAAATATCGTCACTGTTTCTATATTTTATGTAAGTGTTTATAGTTTCAAACCAAAGGAACGAAGACTGTCTAGACTGTTTTCTTATGGCCTGTTATGGATTCAGGTCTGTGATCACAAGTCTGGTGTATAACTAGTCAAATGTGCTGCTTGTACAGTGTTGTGACAACCACTCTCCAAAACATAGTTTAGGGAAATATGTTGATGCGGACTTCCTCTTTATTACATCTGAAGAAGTTTGTTTTCAATAGTTCCTTCAAACCTCTTTATTTTCAGTAGCTGAGTCCAACATTCTGCAAATACATAAGCATAAATTTACATGTGAACATGATAGTAACTCCCTGGAATTAAGGAAATGCTCATCTGGCTGAGATGGGACTTAAGTGTATTGACGTGTTAAGTATATTTAAATGATACGTATGCAAAAGCGAAATTACAGCGAAGCTTAAAAGTCTTCACTTGTTTTCATGACGCAGTTATTACAGAGCCCTTTAAAATACTTAGAATAATTTTCTTTAAGTTTTGGTGGCAACAATGAATGGCGGACTGAGTTAGAATATTTTACTTTTCAGTTTATTTGCATTTGTACTCTTTCAGTTCTTTGGAAATATTTCTGTGGTTTTGGGTATTTGTTCAGAGCTCTTTTCCCCTCCTTTGCTTAACAAAATATTAGTTTTAGCCTTCCAGTGGACCTTTTCTGGCTTTGTAAGACAATGGATAAAACTAGAAAGGCATTTTATAGGAGCAAATACGTCTACAAGGGGAGTTACGCAAGTGTAATAATTTGGGCTCATTTGTTAGCTGATGTTGTGTCATGTTTTCTTGTAAGAAAGTCTTAGGTTTTGATTGGTCATCAGCTCAGCCAGTGTCCTTTAGCTCTTGTCATGGGTGGTTTTGTTCCTTTTCAGATTTTTGTGCAAATAGCCATGGAGTGATAGACTTAGACAGTGAAGTCTTAGAAACAACTGAAGGGAGTACTGTGTGTATCTATGTACTATAGACTCCAGAAAAATGGGCTGGCTATTGTGAAAATGTGCTGGGCTAGTTCAAGACAGATTAGCAATGCCCATTTGTAACATTGCCTTGGAGATGATGCAGCTTCTATTAAAGTTGCATGGAAAGCGTGCACCTGAGATGCAAAGCAGAAATTAAAAAAACACAAAGCATTTTGGTGGTTTCCAGTGCAATTAATTGTTCCTGTTGTTACTTCATTTACCTTTGGTTCCTTCCAGGCTTGGGAGGGAGTAGTGTCTTCCTTATATGCTGGCCTGGCCTTATCTTCCCTGTTTGTCCAGTCTTGACTACGACTGAACTCAGGATAATGGGTCATGGGTGGGACATTAGTCTGAGGGACAAAGCTGTGTGAGGGACCTGCTGAGCTAGGGAACACCGCTGAAGGGCACAGACTGTATATACCATGAGAGCAGGAGAGTCGCCGTTCTCTCCCTGTTAAACTCTGGGTTTTGCTGGCAGACCTGCTGCAACCTGTATGGTTCAGGACTCTGAAGCTGCAGTAGGCTAACTGTTTAGATACCTAGACAGTCTGTGGCAACCAACCATGGCCTAACCAAAAGCCTTTGTTTAATTTTGCAGGCTTATATAGATTAATTAAATGCATTAACTCTAATGTAATGGAGCATTCACTGGTTAGGAAATTTGATTTTGACTATCATGACTATATAAGGAGATTTTTCATAGAGCACAGCATCTAAATAATTCCTTTCCCTCTTTCTTTTCAGGGTGGAGAGGTGCATGATGGGTCTGAACTGATTGGTCCTGTTGAGCCGCTGTCTGACTCTCTGACGGACAACCTGTCTGACTGCAGCTCTGAAGGTTTGCTTGCTTTCTCATGTAACCTTATAGCATGATCTGTTTTGAAGCAGCACGTAAATGACAAGTGCCATATTTGTAGGAGCATTGGCATCCGGTTTCTGTTTGCTTGGTATGACAGAAATGCTGGAGCTGGGATTAAGAAAAGAGAAGTTGGGCTCAGCAGAGCTCTGTCTGCACTGCTGGAAGTTTGTTCTAACAGGAAGTTTTCTGGGAGTTGTCTAGTGCATTTGAGAAGTCCTAGTGCTCTATCGCTCAAAAAGAACAGCTTTTGGTGCCAATTGAACTGTGCTCTCTGATTTAAATGTACATGACCCTGTCTGCTTCCAAAAGGTTGGACAAACAGGGTGGTAGTGTTCACAACTAATCTTAACCGAAGTGTCAGGCTGTAAAAATTTGCCGAGAACTTTCAAACGATTTTGAGATTGATCAATAAGTACAAAGATGACTGCTTGAATTTGTCTGGAGCGTGAAAAATATGTCTAAGATTTGAAGTGCCCCATTAATTTCAGAGGGTTCTCATTCAGCTGTTCATGCTCTGGGTGTCACCATTCTTTTAGTGCTTAGCAAAATCCAGAAGAGAGTCAATATCATATTTTAAAAGTTTAAGTATGGCTTCTGGATTGACCATGTGGGAGTGGGGAATGTTAAAGCCTACTACAGGGTTGGGGGAGATAAGCAAGTTGTTTCAATCTCTTGCAAAAACTGCCAGCATTTTTTCTTTTCCTGAAAAGAACTCCCTATTCTTGAAAGTCTGAGATGTTGCACGTTAGAGCCAGTGTGGGCTATGCTCAACTGAAAACTGGAAATCCCTCCCTTAGCTTGCTAATGTTTTCTGGTTGTGCTATGCCAATGGAGGGTGTGTCCTTTTTCCTAAAGATTGCATTTCTTTAGCACACTGTAGAGATGCACGTGCTTGCGTGGATACCAGATATAGAGTAATTTGTGGCACTTCACTTGCACTAAATAGCATAGCTGTAAGATAGGGTCAGTCAGCCCAAATAAATACTGTGCTACAGCTTCTTGCCTGCTTCTGGAGGCTGAGCCAGCTTAAGCATCTCTGCTTAAGTCATCTGCCAAGTACCGTGCAATCCTTTAGATATTTATGTATTTCTGAGTTATGTTTGGTCCTTGTGACTGCTAAGACATTCTTTTCCAACCCTTAAGATTTTCCTTTGGAACTGTTTTACACCGATGTATAAATATGCAATATTATACAAACACTTATAAAGCTTATTTTGGAGGTTTTTTTTTTTTTTCCTTAACTGCTTAATTTCTTCTCGTCTCTCTCTGGTGCAGAACTTGCTTTGCTAAAACTCTGATTGAATAACAAGAACTGCTTGTGTTTTCTAATAGTGGTTTGTTTATTTCTTGCTTGAGGTTGTAAGACTTGGCACTGTGATCTCTCAGTGTGAATAACTAAGCACTTAGTTATATAATACATTCTGTATGTGCAGTGCATGTTGCAATTTATTTTGTAGTACCTTCTGCAATATTAATGAACTAATGCACCCACAATACTTAGTTCTGTGAAGGTAGAGAGCTGTTTAATTACAGAGGGTAGTTATCATAAATACAGGTAACTGGTTTTAAAGGGGCACTATTTCTGTGAAATGTAATATTCCAGATTTTGACAATGCACCCAATTTACACTGTGCCTTCTAAAGAAAAAATGCTTCTAAAAATGCTTAATGTGAACGTTTCTATTCTTTATTCACAAGGGCCTCATTTTTAGAAGAAGAAAAATACTTCCTTTATGTGAGATAAAATATTGAAAAGAAAAAAAAAATTCCGTAAAGTAGAAAAATTCTTTGATACCCTTCCTCTGAATTGGCTGGAGTGCTTTTAGGGGATACTTGCAACAACTATGAGCACAGGATTTCCAGATGCTGAATGTGACTTTTGTGGAGTTATCTCTTTCTAAAAACCTATGTGTCTTCCAGCTCGTATTTTCTTATGTTCGAGACCAATTTTTTTTTCTTTTGGGGGGGAGTCTAGGAACAGAAGGAAACATCTCTCTTTAAGGCCTCTAGATGGCAGTGGCAATACTCGGCTCTGAGTCCACTCCCTGCCTCTCCTCCGGGCGTCCTGCCTGCATCTAATTTTTCCCAGCCTGATTATCGTAGTTAACTGTGACTAGTTCACTGTGTTAGTTTTTGTGAACATTCAAGGGCCTCCACGTGGGCAGTGCTTCTTCAAGCTGTTGTACTGAGAAGTATCAAACCCATTCCTTGGCAGGTGCCTCTGTTTGCTTATAAGGGCGTGTTGTGTTTTCTCACTTTTATCTGTTCTTTTCAGACAAAGTTCACTCTGCAGCTGGTGTGCACATTATTGGTAGAAGATGCAAACTGATGGTATTAGAAATGTTTTTGTACCAAAATAAGTGATAAGTTTCTTGCTTGTAAAAGCAGTTTGGCAGTTCATGCTTTCACAGGAACCTGCTTTTCAAGAGGCCAGGTTACCCAGGCTTTCAGCCAATTTTTGGAAACTGGATTTACTCCTCATATACCTGGTAAAATTACACAAGGCAGAGACAAGTACAGGAATTTATGTTCCATTTCAGCATCATTATACTCATATTCCTGACAAACAGTCACTCCGTCTTCCTCTCTGGGTACATGGGATAATGTTGATATGTCCAACTTACTCTCCAAAAGTCTTTCTACACCAATCGCCAAATTCTTTACAGAAATTCACTGGGAAGCTCATCTTTTTTCATTCTTTTTTCCCTCCCTCCTTCTGTTTTACCATGTTCACATTACCTTCCCAGAAACAGGCATATGCAGTTCAGACTCTTCCTACCCCTTGGGCTGATTGGAAGCCCCATGACTGTGGTTGTGTGGTGCCAGAGTGGGCTCTAAATCTGCCCTTAAGCAAAGTTTATTAGCTCGGGCTCTGTGCCATGCTAGCTGTGTTCATATGGCTTCTGGTCAAGTTGGCCGCAAGAGAAGAACAAACGTGGTTTTGTTTGGACTCTAGGGAGGGGAACTTAGGTCTGTCTGAAATCTGCTGTGTGGATGTGCTCTAATTCATCTAGTGTGGGTGGCCAGCACACCCTTCCCACAACCCCCCAGCTTTTTCATTCATTATCTGCACCCTTTGTCCATCAGTCAGTTCTGCTTCCATCTATACATTCCCTAGCTAGCCATTTCTCTTCACTGAGCAAAATAACTTGACTCCTTTAAATGTTGTTTCATCAATTCTCAGTCCCCTGCATCCAAATTTGACATTGCTGTCCCTACATTGGGCAGGTGAATGGCCCATTATTAATACACTAATTAATGAATCTTCTATCTTCCTCCAGCTGTTCTGTTGTGAGGTTGCCTTCTTTCTTGCAGGACTTGGGGCTACACAGGCAGCTTTCTTCTCTGTATGGACGCTTTGTTTTATGTCCCTCCTCCGAAAAGATCAGGAGTATTGTCTTCTGTGCACCCTGTCCCCTCCTCTCAAGTGGTCTTGTGTTACTATCACTGTCCCTTGCTTTTTCAGACAAAGAGAGTGGCTGGTAATCTGTTCTCCTTCCTGCCTTTTTTCTTTAATTCACATTAAAGGAACTGCTAGCTTTTAGAAAAGCAGTATTTCTACAGTGCCTTCTTATTCCTTTTCCATAAATTGTAAACTTCCTCTAACTCTAGAGTTGCAAAATTGAAAAGAAAGTTTGAGTTAGTTGCCTTTGAGTCAGCTCCTTGCTACCGTCACACACTGTTTGCAGGTAAGTCAGCACACTTTACCTGATAATGTGGATAAACTCCTGACTCTGATAATACAAAAGAAAACAGACATCAGGTTTTAGCTTAGAATTTACTTTCTCTGTGTGTTCAAACAGCTAAATGTCTTGACCTTGTTGCCTGTTTTATTGCCTCAGTGGGTACATGTGCCAAGGTGATAAAACAAACTGCTACTTGATATCCAGGTGGCACTGCCAAATTCGTGGCTCGCTCCATATGTCTCATGCAGGGTACTATTCTGGAATTACATTTTTGAGACTCAAAGCTGGCTTTTTTTTTCTTTTCTTCTTGGTGTGTAGGTCCCAGCTTTGAAGGCTCTCCTGTTTTAAGTCTCCTTAGCTGTAAGTCAGCAGAGCAGTAAGAGAGAGGGATTAAAGTGCTGCTGCTATTGAAATTAAGTGAGTTGTAGTGCTGAGGTTTGAATTAGCCCCCCCTAAGCAAGCACCTGTGTTTTGTTTTTTAACCTCAGAGGCAATGAGAAACAGCAAATCTAATACCATGGTCACAATTTTAATGGTGTATTGCCAAATGGGTATCTCTGATAGCTGGTCAAAGAACAGTTTCGTATTATGTACTTTTACCTGTAGTAGGGTCATGCCCTTTCATTTTGATGGCAAGTGAACATCTAATCTGTTGTACAAAAGGATGTCAGAAACATTTTTGTCGTTCTTGTCCTTTTCAGTTCGAAAGGATTTAAGTGGGCTTGATGATGTGACACTTACAAGCCAATCAGAATGTGGAGGTGAGATCTAGAAGTTGTTTCCATTACATTTGTGGAATTTAAATTGTTAGAAAGTCATAATTATGAGTGAACACTTTTTGTGGATGATAATCCTTACAGAATGAAATGTTGTATGTGTAAAATATCTTTGTTGACATTTATTTCCAAATAACCCTGCTAAGTTGCTGTGGTTTAGTTACTGAAGGTCATCTTGCAGTAAGTATATATGCTTTTAGCTTATGGCAAATGTAAAATAAAATCTGTTAGCTCAAATTTCAGTGAGAGTTGTAAGCTAATTCATTTTACCATGTGTTAGCAATGAAAGAAGAGTATACATGGTAGATGTGAGTTAGTGCTGCATGATGTTTAAGCTGACAGTAACTGTGTTAATTCAAACTCCTAATTTTTTGGGGATGCTTCATCTTACTGATTTAAAACAATATGTTGGGATTTCTTGCAACAGTAATCTGACTCCTGCTGACTGACTTTTCCAACAGCGCTCACACAGAGTAATTTTCCTGAAGCCCAATGATGTACAGGCTTTGAAAGTTTCAGTTGGGTGTTAGATGTTGGTCTCTTCATTCCCAGTATTAAAATGAAGATGAGTTGCTCTGTGGAGTTTGTAGCTAGTTTTAAAAAAATGTATTTCTATAGGTAATAATTTTTAAGACAGCTTTATGTGCAGGGAATTTCTGTGCACAAAGTGTCAGGAAGCTGTATAAGTGAGAAGAAAGCTAAAATCTGTGAATGGGGTAAAGTATTTTGGGGGTTCCTAAGGTATGTGAGAAATCTAGAGTAATGAATGTCTTTCTGACTGTGCTTTCAGGCTTCTCCAGTGACAGTGACCTGATCTCTCTGACAGTTGATGTAGACTCTCTTGCCGAGTTAGATGATGGAATGGCATCCAACCAAAGTTCTCCCAGTAGAGCTGTTGGCCTTTCCCTTACTTCTGAACCCCCAGTACAAAGCACAGTGGCACCTGAGCAGGAGTGGAGCAAACCTGAAGGAGAGAGGGAAAGCCATAGTCTGTTTACTGGAGGCTTAAAACCCAAGCCTGGCAAACAAGATTACTTGGAGAAAGCAGGCGAGTTGATAAAACTGGCCTTGAAGAAGGAGGAGGAAGAAGATTATGAAACTGCCTTCAGCTTTTATAGAAAGGGGGTTGATCTGCTTCTGGAAGGTGTTCAAGGTATGGATCTTCCCACGGTGTTTGCCTTACCTTTGGTTATAGGTATTTGTTTATGGCATTTCCTTAGTTAACATCAGCTTACTGTGTTGCAAACAGGTGGTATGAAGTGCAGAATGATGTGTGTCTGGCTTTCATGTGCATGATAGCTGCTGTGCATATGAGAGAGAGAAATCTTTCTCTCTAAGACTGAATGATAATTTAGGGTCTCATCTTCCAAGTGCCAAGTATCTCCTCTTCTAAAATTGCAGCACAACCTCCGACTTGCAGGTAAGTAGCAAAGTGCTCCACTTTTGTCTCTTTCCTTTTTATTACCTAGGGATTAATTAATATGTGGCACTTGCAGCACTGTTGAAACATTATTTAATTTACATGGTTAAGTGAGGATTAATTATCCCCATTTTACGCATGGGGAGAGGCAGACTCAGGTTAACTTCCCAGTCACAACAGGATTAGAACTATTCTTGGCTCACAGCCTCTTGCTTCTTCCGCTAAACTGTTGTCCTTTTTTAGCTGAAGGATTCGTACAAACTTACATGCCTGCACTGCTGGAGGAGAACAGGTTTTTTGTTTTGTTTTGTTTGGTTTTTTTGTTTGCTTGTTCCCCCCCCCAAAAAAAAAGACTTTGGTGTGCCACTAGATGTCTGCAAAAGCTGTTGTTAAGTGACCAGATGCAACTATATGAGAATTTCTGTAGAGTCTCCTTGCAGCTTGTCAGTCAGGGAACAATTTTTTCCCCTTCCATCTCTAGTTCTTGAGAATCTAGAGTGATAACCTCATATATTTGCATTTTGTCCAACAACAGCTTAAAACTATAAAGCACAGGAAAATTTGTTCTTTCCTGGAGTGAATTCAGAGTCTGTGTATTGTGATTCTGTCCCACACAGGTCAAATGAGTAAGATTAGAATTGTGGCTTTGTTTGACGTTATACAGCACAGATGCATTATGCTGCTCCAGAGCTGAACTTAAATGCTAATGTACCAAAGCACATACAAGCAAAAGCCTTTGCTGCATCTCAGTAGGATGCACAGCAGTGGTCCAGACCCTCTGAACAGTTCTAGGAATGAAAGTTACCTGCTGAGCTGCTTTAACGGGGCCTGGCAAAAAATAATGGGTAGGTTACTGATGAAAACTAGAGGTGTGGGCCAAGATATGTGCATAGCCTTTGCTTAAAGTGTCTTTTTTTGGCAAAAGTGAATCTACCTCTTTCTTTTCAAGTCCCAGTGATGTCAGTAGGGTTACTGCTTTGCTGTTTGTTGCGGCTTTTCAATAGCATCATATCTTTCCTTGCCCATGTTATCAAAATGTTTTTTTATTCTTGATATTGAATGTGCTGGCAATCCTTGTTTTGGAGACCCCAGCTATTCTTTCTTTACTAATACACTTCTTCATAGACCTGTGTGCCATTCAGTTATGGTCTTCTGAAGAATATCCTGTTTCATCATAAGCACTTCTGTCTTCTTGCCATGATACAAAGCTGCCATGATGCAGTTTCAAACTGACAGTTCAAGTTTCAGCTTCAAAAAGCTTTCTTTATTAAACAGTTGCAAACTGTTAGGGCATGAACATAAGTCAGGCTATCGCACATCAGTTGAGCTGCGGTAACTATGCATGCGTACTTGACTTGTGGCAGTGATCAAACATGTTGGTTTTGAATCCATGGTAATCGTTATGGTAATATGTTTACCTTGAAGTTTTGAAAGGCCATTCTCGCATGTGTTGTAGGTGACTTGCTCAACTTATGTGTAATAACTTGTTAAACTAGAGTGGGTTGAGCTTTTTACTTACATTTGCTAACATTTCCTCTAAGGACTCTTTCTTCTTTGCTGTTGACTAGCTACTCTTCCAGCTACCTCAGATGACTGCTAATCCTTTTCTTTCGCCCACTGGTATCCACGCTTTTCAGGCTAGGAAAAAATTCAAGTGGTCCTAGAACCAAGTGTGATGTTCTGCCATGTTTTCCTGATGCCACTGTAGTACAGTGGAGGTTATTAATAAATTTATAGTGGTGGTACCTCTGTGTGTGTGGGGGGTAGAGGTGTTCCTGATGGATGAAGAGATGTGTAGTCAGCACCTGCAACTTTTTCTGTGCAGTCCCTGACATTGCATCTGTAAAGCACAGGGAAGGGAATAACAGGAGTGACTTGCTTTTTTAGCTTATCCCTTGGGAACATAAGGCATCTTATCCCTTGGGAACATAAATGTACACAGCTAGTTCTCAGCAGTCAGCTCTTCTTTCTCCTTTCTCTGTGTTACCCTGCATGGCTGTGGAGGTGGAAAGGAAATGAATGTTTGTCCTCTGCTAGGCACTTACACTAGATTGGCTAGATCCAGTTGATCTTGTGTCCTTTCTCTTTGGACCTTCTGCAAGCTGACAAGGAGACACTGATGTCCTTCTCTATAACAATACACCTGATTCAAACGCCTTCTTAAAAATATATGCCTCCTCAGTATCTATGAGCACAGTAAAAACAAAACAAACAAACCCAATAAAAAAACATTAATAACCATCTATATCATGCTTTATTAAAAAGCTACTAGCTGCTTTGAGGGTGATATGTTTAGTGTTGATATGTGAATATTCACTGTATGTTGCAATCAAAAAACCCAATCTTAATCACTTCAGCTATTTAAACACCTCTGGTTATGTATTTCACATGGATAATAACACGTTCCTTTCAAAGATAAGGATGGTGCAATTGTTGCAAAATGCCTGTGAACTTCTGCCATTGATTATTTTTAGACTATTTTGTGTAAATTAGCCTTTGTAATATCTGAAAGTGAAGCACAGCATTCATATATGCTTACACACACGTACAAAAGTGACATTGCCTTTCAGTGTACAGCCATTGCGGAATGTGTGGCCTCTCTTTAGAGTGGACTGGAAGTGGCTTTTGCAGGTTAAATGGTAATACATATTTTTGCCACGTGGTGGCACCAAGGAAATAGAAATTGACACCTAAGAATTGCAAGCAGAAAATGTAACCAGTGTATTGGGAGAAAAAAGAAACATCATCCATCCTCTGTGCTTGAAACTTCTCTCAGAATTACCTCAGCAACGTAGTGCCTCTGTAAGTTGGTTAGATGTATCTGAAGGATAAGGATGTCTCTGTTGCCAGCCACTCCTTTAGGCTCGGTACAAGAAGATCTACTTACTTCTTAAGGCTGCCTTGTCAAAATTGTGTATAAGTAAGTTTATTACTGCAAGTGTATAGACTTGTGTTATTTAGTTTGAAGTAGCTGGCTTCCGTAAAGGCAGTCGGAGCACACTTGAGTCTGTTACTTTCCTGACGACTTTCCAGCTCTCTGAGCTGATGGCACTAATGCTAGATGAGGCAGGTGTTGCATATGCTTACACCAGAGAAATGTACATCTTCGCTTCATTTTCAGCTGTGTGTGCGTGCTTGCACAAGTATAGTGGTGTTAATTATACCGTGCAAGGTGCCTATGTATTTTCCTCTGCTAGTCTCTTGCAGAGTTTTAGTACTAATCTTTTAATGTCCTATTCACAGTCCTGCCAAAAGGCCTGATCTGCGTGTCACTTGGGGAACGAATGCCGTCTGTGCTCTGAGAAACTGGTGTATACTTTGGTCTCTGGGCATCTGCTCTTTATACATTCTGGGCCTAGTTCTGCTCCATACACGCATTTAATATTAAACACGTTTGTCAGCGGGAAGGAGGAGAACACCTTTTTGGACTGGCAGCAGAGCTGTTGAACTACCCGTACCTCTTGTACCTCCCCACTTCATTTATACCAGAGCTCCCTTGCATGTGATGAGAGGAATGGCTGCCATCATTTCCTTTTTTCCTCTGAATACGTATTGATTCTGCTACCCCTCTTGCATTTTCTGGGTATTGTTGCGTACAGGATTTTGGAACTTTTGGAAAGCAGGTCTGTAAGGGTTGTATAGGATGGTTAAACAATTCTCCAAAAGCTGAAACCTTCTGGAATTCTAGTCTTCTGCGTTTTTAAGCATACTAGAAGATAAGGGTATTAATTGATAGAAACTTTGGCTCACAATTATAGCTGTTCCTTTGTTTTGTTAGCATGTCAGAGCACTTTGAGGTCAACGCATTGCTTCAGGCCCAGTGATGGAAAAAATGTACTAATCGATAGCAAGCCACCAACTTCTAGGCTGGAAGTTAACTGTGTTTTATGCGAAGTAGTGCTTTCCCTGGCTTTGGTGTAGGACATAGTTTATGTTAGGAAAAAATAGATCAGGAGGCTAAAATTGTGGAAAGAGTTTTTTGTAATAAAGGAGGGAGTCTTGTCTGTATAAATGGCTCCTCCTTTTCCAACTCCAGCTGTTCTCACGTTATATCCATTATGGATCTGGGCAGTCTGAGCTGCGTGATAAACAGAGTTAACACTATTGCTTATTGCTGGGTTTCAGTAACTTCAGGCATGTGATGAAGCAAGAGCACATCACAATATGGTCCTTCTAATTTGTGTAGAAAAGTACAGGATCTGTTCTATGTGGCTTAGAAAGCAAATGTGGTGATTGCTGGTCTGTTACATACAAGGCTCCACGTTACACATTAACATCTGAAGGGAGGTGATCCATTTATTCTGTCAGAGATTTGGGGTGTTTGTTTTCACGTGTGTAGCAGCTGTGGCTGGACACAATGAATATTTATTTGTTTTAGGGGGCTGGTTCAGCTAGGTAGCATGGACCTTGTTGCATGAAGTATGTGGTGCCTCTTAAGCCAGCTTAGCAGCCACAAGCTGTTTTCTAGGTATCTGTGTTTTGCATTAGGTATCTACAACTTCTAGATAAGCTGCTGGTGTCTTTGAAAGCGGGCTACGAATGTCAGTTTTGCACTACTCTGTGCTATTTTAATGTTTATCCAGTAAACAGAGCTGGAACAAAAATTACACAAATTACTGGAACCTTGCTAAAATGACTTTGACTTTTAACCCAGAAATGCATATACAATGAAATGCTGGGAATACTTTGGACAACTAGATGATATTTTTGGATATACTGAAAACAAACCAACT